GGTATGTGATTATGATGCAGTGTGCTATAGTAATGAGCCAGCTGGTACCGAGCTGGAATGAATGCTCCTCAGTCGGTGGATGGAGGAGCTCTATGCATATCCAGAGTCAACACTTCTGCCACTGCGGAAGAATGATCGGATAAAGGATGTTCACTTTGTCATAGTGCTTCATTATAATGTTCAAAAATAACATATATAGAAAGATATTTCATTGTAGAGCATTCTCTTTTCATTGACAGGCTTGGACAAGCATAGCTCAATCACATAAAACATTTCTTTGTCATAAAACTTTAAAAATCCATAATGAGACACAAAATATTACAAATACATATTCTGCCTCAACTATTATACAATATAGAGCCGCTGGGGTGATGCTTCAGTCCAAGAGTTACTCTCTACGTGTTAAAAACAAGATGTCCATTACTGGGTTTGTGGCCATTTGTACTTTACTTGTTAGCACTTATACCACTATCTTTGGCAGTTTGTATTCTTTTTCAAAAAAGTGCAACGGATCAAAACTCCCCTTCATTAGTTATCTTTACAGCAGTACAGGTATGTAAGCACAAAGAGCCGGGCTGTATCAGATATACAGTTGTGTGAAAAAGTGTTTGCCCCCTTCCTGATTTCTTATTTTTTTGTCACACTTAAATGTTTCAGATCATCAAACTAATTTAAATATTAGACAAAGATAACACAAGTAAACACAAAATGCAGTTTTTAAATGAAGGTTTTTATTATTAAGGGGGAAAAAAATCCAAACCTACATGGCCCTGTGTGAAAAAGTGATTGCCGTCTAAACCTAATAACTGGTTGGGCCACCCTTAGCAGCAACAACTGCAATCAAGCGTTTGCGATAACTGGCAATGAGTCTTTTACAGCGCTGTAGAGGAATTTTGGCCCACTCATCTTTGCAGAATTGTTGTAATTCAGCCACATTAGAGGGTTTTCGAGCATGAACCGCCTTTTTAAGGTCATGCCACAGCATCTCAATCGGATTCAGGTCGGGACTTTGACTAGGCCACTACAAAGTCTTCATTTTGTTTTTCTTAAGCCATTCAGAGGTGGACTTGCTG